GTTAGTAGCCATTATTAAGAGAAAAGAAGGTCTCACAAGATGAATTCCCTTATTTATCAAGCGAGCAGTCCATAATAGCGTTGGGGCGCGCTCTGCCACGTACCAGACGATCGCGGCGATAGCCAAGGTCGCCGCGATCGCCGCTGCTGCCGCGAAGTATGAACGCTGCCTAAGACTAGCATCGCGAAAACTAAGTACCTCCAGTCTGCTCATTCTTTGCTGCAAAGTGAGCTCTTCATTGTCAAGCAAATGATCCAGGTCCTCTAGCACTGAGGCACTTTCTTCAGCAGTGTCACGACGATACTTCCCAACACCAGCTGGCCCATTTCTGAAAGTTAATGGTGGTTTGAAACTTTTTCGTACAGTTCAAAATATTGAAAGTATTACTCTTTCGGATAACTCCTGGCTCGAGAGTAGTCAGCCGAGACTGGTCGCTGCTGAGACCTGGAAGTCCATTACTTTTATCTTGGAAATGAACGGTAACTTGTATCGTTAGGGTGTTTATCTAACGAGCTGTTGTAAAGGGCTTTCCTACTACATTCATATGCCTAGAAAGCACATTCCTCGTTCGTCAGATGGGTGGATCTGGATCTTTCCGTTGTTACTATTAAGAAAGAGAGGCGAGGATACAGAGGTAGGCGCAGTTCCTCCCGCATTGACGAGCGCGGAATGTGCTTTCAGGAATGTTTACAAGAACGCAAACGCTCACTACCTTCACTGCTCAGAACCAACTACCTGATTGGTACACATTAATGAAATGAATCTTACCGATTCTGTGACTGAATGCTCATAGATTTGTGCTCTTCTCTCCATGGTATCGTATAGATGTCTCCATGCGAGGTTACTGAAAACTTCCAATCTTTTTCCTCATTTACAAGTAGTGAAACTTTCCTTCTCACCATCAGTCACTGCTTTCCAGCTCCAAGCAGGGAGGGGGGGATAAATAGCTAACACATGTGAAACAGGAGAAGTCACGGAAAGTCAGCAACCTCTCTCAATCTCAGCAACGTCTCTCAAGAAACAAGCGTACCAGCATCGCGATGTTGGAAGGGGTGGCCGTACGACCCCCCCCCTATCTCGAGGAAGGGTCTTGGTCGGCAAACCCCCCCGCACCTTAAGTGAGGTCGGTACGGACCTCCTCCCCCTTCTGGGCCCCCCCTCCGGCAGAGGCGAAGTACGCCCCCCCCCCTATGTGTTTCACACAACGATGCTGTACCCTGCTCAAGAAAGAACGGCTGTTGAAATCAAAAAAGCAACCTTTCTCAGAAGGTCAGTAGGGAAATACAACACCCCCCCCTCCTCCTTAAAACGTCCCTGAGACGAGAAAAATCAAGTATCAAATTAAAAAATTTTCTCTGAGACCAAATACGACCCCCTCACCGCTCCCAGCGACCAAATACGACCCCACCCCCTGTTGGGGAATTCCTAAAAACGATGTGCCATGGTTGCGATTCTGTCAGTTACGATGATGTGCATCACTTCATAATATATTCTTCCCAATGGCCTCTCAAAGAACAAGCTGTGAATTTTCCGGATGACTTCGCTGCCGCCACGGTACTCCGCGCGCTTCTGACTCGTCTATACTTCATAGCTGAGAGTAAGACAGTAATAAGAAATCCATCAAGCGAAAAAGTTCAGTACGTGTGAGGCACGAATGAAATTGCTTGCTAGTGAAACAGGTGTACCATAATTGGTATCATTCTGTTTAGTAGGATTGAGCGGTGACTTGATCAGACTGGCTGGCCCTCTCATGAAGGGAAAAACCGGAACTTTTATTCCAGAAACGTCGTGGAACGGGTCTAAGAGACGTTTTGAGCGATTATTGAGTGCGTAGTCGCTTGTCCTGGCTTTATGCCAGAAGTTCGTGAAGCTAACTTCGTGTGATTATCTGAGAGTAACACGCTAAAACTCAGTGAGTTAGGTTCAAGCCTACGAGCTCCTCTGCCTGGGCTTTGATTATTACATGTAACCCATAACATTGAGTCGAATCATTAGCCATTGTGTAAAAAAACCGGGTAAAGATCCCTAGAGCCTGAAATCTCATGAGGTTGCGTCGGTTGTAATGTTCGGACGAGACTCATCCCTCTCTCACCCTGCCTTTTCCACTGCGTGTCCTCTGAAATGTTTTGTAAGACGCCGAGCAGTCGTATGCATTCTCTACTCAAGTACATTGTGTGCACGGCAGCGCCAGTACTTCGCGATGACATGCGTCGACGCCCTGTAAGGCGCTGTAATACGCGACGACCCGCTATAATGCGCTGTAACGCGTGTCGGCGCGCTACAATTACAACAGCGTATCAAAGGTATAGACGCAAACGAGCAGAAGACTGGCCAGTCCATCAGCCAGTCCCGATGGATACCAGTCTGCGTGGCTAGGCAACATCTACCATCCTTTCCTGGGCAACGGTTAGGACTCCACGAGAGGTCAGCCTGCCGCCGCGACGCGGCAGTTTTCGCTATGTGCGCGGCGTTTGCATAGTCCATGAGATTTCCAACAGTCTGCTTTATTACTTGCAGGTGTGAAAACTATGAAAGGAGTAGGCCCGATGTTAACTATTAGTGTATAACAACGTCCATTTACATAGAAATAATATTTAGAGAATACATCAGCAATCTAGAAATTCACTCTAGGGTGAATCCATCTTTTGCCCTCAAT